TAGTTTTATTGGATATGACAAATCACAAAGACTAAACACATATGTGCCAGCCATTGTGAGGGATTTTCAGCCATTGGTTTTTACCATTCTGAGGACTCCAACTAGTGAGGAATCTACACCTCCCTACGTGGCTGCCTGGCTTAAACGAACTGTTGTGGATTTCATTGACTGATGAATCCATGTTTTGGTTTGATCATCAATTACTAGCTATTTTCCAATCTGATCCATCCTATGTCATCTACGATTGCCCGTCGAAGAATGCAATCGACGCCTAGGCATGCGTAACACATGTTCTTACAATCTCAATCGATGTAACTACACGACCTCGTCGACTGATTTTCCCTCCGCACCTGGCATTGGACTAATGCCTCACATCAATCTTACTCACCTCATTATATCACCTAGCATCGGAGATAGAACGCAGACACCTATGATAAAAGATTGCTACTCTCTTTACAGCTTTCACTTCTAATGACCATGTCTCACAGACAGCCATAAATGAGGACAGAGCGAACTGTTGAGCAGTACACACTTCCGTTGGTCGGCAGCCGGTCGGATATTATACAATAAATACAAGCAACAAACGGAAAAAATAGGAGAATGAAGCAGGATTTAGTAAATTCATCAAATTTCACTTTGAAAGCAAGCTGTAGAAAGATGAACTTTTTTTTCTATTGTGCTGCAATCCGCTTTGACAACACTACATTTTTCATGTTTGTATCGATGAAATTCTGTGTATCGGTAACCATAATCATGCAGACATTTTTATTTTGGTTTGTTTTAGAGAACATACGTTCTGTGGGTTACATAACCTTTTTTACTCCTTTACGTTCCCAGTGAAACATAGGACTTCAAGATAGAGGCTTAAATTTTCTGTAGCAGTGGGGATTATTTTTACGGTATGTGGTTGCTAGCCTCATGCCCAACCTTTCCTATTTACCAGTCTTATCAGTGGCTTAGAGGGGTAAAGCAGTGCATCCGAGCCCGGGGATCGAACCCCGGACTAAATGAGGTGTGGTCGGTGAGCACTTTGCCGCTGTGCCACCGACGGACGGTTACATAACTTTACTATCTGTTATACTCTTTCTAATTAAATTTTGTTTCCATCCACACAAGGAAAAATCTGTTGAACTCTGTTCTTTTGTTTCCCAAGCACATTTTTAATTATAAATGGGCTATGAATATAAAATAACGTTAATTAACAATATTAACGACAATATAATGATAAGTTATTAGTATCATGTCTAACACTTTTCTCATCACATAAAATTTGTGCCTGGCAAATAAGGTATTGTAGAGTTATTATGCTTAGTTATCTAAGCATAAAGTCATCTATAGTTGCTCCCAGTTCCATCTACCTGATGAGCTGCAGTAAGGAGAGGTTTTTGTGTAGGGAGAATGCTCAGCTCTCCTCCCCGTCCTCCTTTATGGCTGTGAGACCTGGCCATCGAGAGTGCAGGACATGAAAAGGCTGGTTGTCTTTGATCATAGGTGTCTGCGTTCTATCTCCCGTGTTAGGTGGCGTGATATAATAGGGTGAGCAATATTGAGGTTAGGCATCGGTGGAGTGCTAGTTAAAGAGGGGAAATCAATAGACGAGGCTGTGAATTAACATTGACTGAGGTGGTTAGGACGTGTGTTACGTATGCCTAATCATCGCCTTCCTCGATGGGCAATATTAGCTGACATAGGATGGATCAGGCTGAAAAAGAGCTATCGGCGGTCAAACAAAACATGGCACCAGTCAATGAAATCTACAACAGTTAGTCTAACTAAACCACGTAGGAAGGTATAGACTTCCTGACTGGTTGGGGTCCTCGGGACGGTAAAAACCAATGGTTGGAAACAATTGGTGACATGGCTCAAAGTCGTTCTCAGTGGCTAACGCAGATGCATCCACTCCTTGTGATTTATGATTTCCAATTAAACTGTTTTGTTCTTCGATATTACTATTCCTTTGTCTCACACCTCTGTTTACTGTCTATATTATGCATTTCTCCTACTTTCTTCTCTTCCTTTGTGTGTTGAGTGAAGTGTGGCGACTTGAACTGGTTCACATCAATGCGAAGTTCTATGTTGAAAACAGTCAGTCAGTCAGAATTCTTAGCGTCTGATGCGATAATATTCTCTAATTTCTTGCATGAGTTTACGTGTGCATCCATACTACAATTAACAAGTTGGTTTAGCGACATCTCACTAGCCCTAATAAAGGCTTTTAGCTCCATTTTCATTGTATCAGAGTTTGAATAGTTCAGTGGTAACGTCTCTGACTGCAGGCAATACTGAGTGACACGGGTTCGAATCTCAGAAGGGACATGAGTTCCTTCGGGGTTGCAGATACGCGTTGCTGACTGGTGAGTGCCAACTAGCGCGACACTTTGTTCCAAAGCTTCCTGTGGCCGATTGCCTCCAACCATCTGAAGTCTTTCTTGATTAGCCCAGAGAAGACTGAGCCGGGGGGTGGAGGTGATTAATAAAGAAGAATAGTTAGAATACAAGAATTAACAAACTGTAAAAGTAGAGATTGACTGTAGTATCTATCACTAACGCAGGATGTTAATAAACGAAATATCATTCTAGAAACTGACATGATATGGGAAGATCAACAAAAATTATCAGAGAAAATAGACAGTTCACGTCTTTGTCTCGCTTATTCCACCTTCTCTTAACTTTTTAATTTATCTGAATTTAACCTTTATTAAACAAGGTGGCGAGTCATCGAAATACCACTTTTCAGTCTAAGCTTTCATGCATACATGTCTGTAAGACTAGCAAAAATATTCTTGTGCCAAAAAAAAACTTTTTTACACCGGTATGCTTTTATTCTTGTTGTTGATGTTGTTGCAAATTTGTATATTAACTAACTGTTCAGCCTAAAGTGTCCTTCACCTCCTAGTGGTACTAGTAGTAGATGCGTCAATCATATTCGACAACAAGTTGATATTCACTGGACAGCTAAAAAGTAGGCTACTTCATTATTCAACCGTTGGTTATGAGCTAGCTGGTGTATAGGTCATTGATTATCCCAGTATACACAAAGTGAGACAAGTGTTCCTGTGATAATCATAGGGTGGCGGTGGCGGGTGGTTTGGTTTCACTAAAATAGTTGGTATCTAAGGTTCTAGACTCAATAATTATGTGTAAACGATAAGTGGTGCTTGAGAGAAAGAAACATGAGAAAATTAAACAGGCTTTAGACCAGGAAAAGTGTGTGTTGATGATCATATCTTCATCCTTCGACAAATTCTGGAATGGAATACGGGCTTACTTACCGTTGACGTCCAACAGTCACCGTATTTATGGTGGTCTCTGTCTGTCTGGGTTCAACATAGAACTTGGCACCGAAGTGCAGCAGTTCGAGTTGCCACGTTCCAAATAGCGCACAAAGGTGGTAGACAAGAAAATGAGTGAAGAGAATCAATAGAGTTTTGACAAGTATAAGAGTGAAACAGAATGAGTAATGGTAGAAATACATGAATGTGTAAGATTACAGAGACTGAATACATCTGCGTAAGCCATTGACAACGATTTTGAGCCATGTCACCTATTGTCTCCAGCCACTGATTCTTAGAGTCCCGAGGGCGGGCCCCAACCCGGAAGTCTGCATCTCCCTACCTGACTCAGTTTAACTGTCAGGGATTTCATGGATTGATTGATGCCATGTTTTTGTTTGGCCACCTCTTACTCTTTTCCAACCTTCACCTATATCAGCTAGTAATGCCCGTCGGAGTGGGTGAGGCGATGGTTAGGCATGCGCAGCACGTCACCTAGCCATCTCAATCTATGTAACTTTATAGCCTCTTCTATTGATTTTCCCTCTTTGCCCAACACTCTACGCCCTACCGAAAGCTACCTTGACGTGGTGGTCGGGCCTGAACACCGCGATGACCCCACAAAATATACTGGCTGAGACTTATGTCGCTTGAGGTCCTACCATGCCAGAAAAGTTGTTTGGATAGCGGTTAGTCAAAAAGCAGCTACCCAATACAATGCTATGACTCGAACAAAATCACAAAATATCATGCCGGATCGGTCGGGGCCTGGATTAACAACGACTGCTCTTTCTGCTGCCGTGTCACAGGGCAAAAGTGATAAATATGCTACTGAGACACACCAAATTTATGGTGGTATTCAACTCCAAGGACTGAGAGACGTTTTGCCAATGTCTATCTGGTCGTGAAGAGAGTGCCAGGATTGTACGTCGTATTAATCAAGGCACTCTACTCGAATTCATACAGCTGTCTAAGATCATCTGAGGTGATGACAACTATTAGTTTCTGTCAAGCATACCCATCGTCCCCTTTTCTGTTTAATTTCATCATAGATGTACTAATCAAATTGACCCTAATTAACTTCAGCCACTCAGGGATTGACTTGTTATCCGTCAGAGAATAATCTCAATGACTTAGAATATTCGGGTGATGTAGTCCTGTGGAGGAAAAGATGCTGATAAGATTCAGCGTCTTTTGAATACCTTGAGTAACAGAAATCTTCGAATGTTTGGCATGCGATTCTCTGTTGCTGTCAAATGTAAAATGAAGCTACAGGACTGGATGACACGAACCCATCGTTTTTAAGAAAGGCAAGAGTGTGAAGTGGTTGGTGGAGCGTGTTGATCATTTCATTTACTGAAACGATGGTGGATGGGTTGGAGTCTCAGTGGGGGGGGGGGAACACTATCACTCACTAGGGAATGCAGGTATATCCAGATGATGAGCTCTAATTAGGACGAAATACACATCTAGAATACTTACTATTGCTAGTCATTCACCATTCACTAAATGACTGTGGGAATGATTTTACATCCTGCCCATTTTTTGTATTTTTTTCGTGATAAGCTTTTCCAGTTAGCTAAGTATTGTATGTCTAATTAACAACTTATAGGATTAGGAATATACACATTAATTACTACTCAGTGAAATTCTCTCTAGTTGTTGTGAGTTAAAGTTTCTTTTTTATTTTATTATTTTTATTATTTCATTTCCAGATGTATAATTTGTATGTGTGAATATGAAGAAGGTGAAGAACTTCGCTATCTACCCTGTCTACACACGTATCATCGTATCTGTATTGATGATTGGCTTATGCGAGCATTAACCTGTCCTTCGTGTTTAGAAGAAATACGACCTAATTCACCAGCAAGAGCTCGTTCTAATAATGGAACTCAAACGGAGAATTTTTTTAATGGTACATCAGAGACACCTGCTGTTAACCACCACCACCACCAGACAACTGAAACTTCTGTTCCTACTTCATGTCCTCCTGCTCCTCCTCCTCCTCCTCCACAACCGCCACAACAACAACAACAGGATAGTCAACCGACCAATGAATTTAGAAGACCTAGTGTTACTGAATTTCGTACTAGAAATGTCCACTCGAATTCATCCAGTCAATCACAAACTATTCAACGTCTGATTTTAGGCAAATTAAAAAGTCATAATAACAGTAGTGGTGGAGATGTATCAGATATTCTCAGCAATTCACCCACCAGTGTAGTACATCCTCTTTCTCGTCATCATCGTCATCAACAACAACATCATCGACGTACACGCTCGATTGGTCCAAGTAGACGATCTCATTCTGTAAATGCTTCCAGTGCTGCAACTTTGCCTTATCGTCGTGGGAATAGTGTCACAGCGATTGATACTATTCAACCTGTACAGTCAAGTGATGATGATAATTTATCAGGATCAACTAATCGAAATGATTTTTTTCCCAGTCCAACGAATACAAGACGCAGACAATTGAATGGAGATTCGAATGAGGTTAGTTATTTTCCCATATCAATCAATACCTATTGCATGTCAGTGATAACTCTGAAACTCAGAAAATGGAATTACTTAACGCTTGATCATGGATTGATATCAGTTAGAGAACCATTGAAAACTCACAGGGACTACTGGACAGCCAGATGTTTCGCCCCTGTTAGGGAGTCATCGACGGCACGAACCCACCAGCAGGGTCCGAACCTAGAACCTACTGGTTACAAAGCAAGCCGCTAGTTCGTAGACCATTCAGTGGCCAGCCCATGAATTCTAACTTCTACCCATTCGTGATATATTTAGCGTAACCGGGTAGCCAGTGTAACAGGCGACCGACTGTCTTCTTAACTGACTGGATGGAACCCACTGGTCAAGACTTCGTCATTCAACCAATCACTGGCGAACATCGGATTAGTATCAGTTAGAGAACCACTGGGAACTATGAAGTGACTACACATTATTATTATTATTGTTTCCTTTAATTCCTAGAGGAACATAGGGCTTCAGCCACACGTTTCCATTGCTTTTGGTTTTCTGCTAGAGTCTTCACCTGGCTCCAAGTCTGCCCATACGTTTTCACCTCCTATTCACATGACCTCCTCCAAGTCACCCTTGCACTGATGACCAACTCGCCGCTCCCCTTCGGGTTCCACTCGAGCGATGGCTTGTCTAGTGATGTCACTCACTTGATGGTTTCCTCAGAGTATGGCCAATCCATCTCCATTTCCTTCTGCATAATTGTTTCACAATCGGTTGCTGCTGTGTTGGTTCGCTCATTGCCAGAGATCTCTGTTGCTGATCTTTTCTGGCCGGCCATCTGATCTTGAGTAGTATTGAACGAAGACAACTGTTAATGAAGGTTTGTAGTTTGTTTGAGATGCTCTTTATGACGCGCTGGCCAAGTCTCTGATCCGTATAGTGAGTAGCACTGACATAATTCATATTGGAGTTCAAAATCTGGATGTTATTCTTGATGCTGAGTGCTGTTGACCTCCACACAGACTTGAGAGTAGTGAAAGCTTGTGTTGCTTTACCGATTCTTGCTTTGATATCCTCGTCAGTTCCGTGCACCTGTAGTTGAAACGATGCTTCCCAGGTAAGTAGGTAAAAGAGGTTGTTTCTTTCAGGTTCCTCCCATTTATGTTGATTGTTGTCTGTTGTTGTTGTTGCTTTTGGTGGTGTTGCCCGGGAATTTTCATCACCTCTGTTTTCTCTATGTTCACCTGAAGTCCTAACTTCTCTGGATGCTTCTTCTGCCAACTTGTTGCTTTTCGCTTGCATATCTTCTAGTTTCTGGGAAATCAGACATATATCATCGGTGAATTCCAGATCGTCCAAGTCGTCTTTTGTGTGAGTCCATTTTATGCCTGTTTCCTGATTGCCTGCTGTTTGTCGCATTATCCAGTCTACTGCAATCGGGAAAATCATTTGCGATAGTAAAATTTCATTAACTTTACTGACAAGTAACAGTTCTCTTTGTCATTCCTTCGCACGTCCCCCCCCTCATTGGAAGCTTGAGCTGCTTTGAAGTTTTTAGTGGCACTGGTGGTTATTCTGCTGAGTGCAACTACTAACCTCAACCCCAGCCTTTCTTAATTATCGAGCCCATAACCGACTAAGGGAAAGGTAAAAGTATGTCTCAGTAGCGACATGAACCCCGAACCAGCTGCATGGTTCGCTAGTATCCTACTGTTCAACCACCGACTACCACTAACAATGTCAAAGCTTCATTGAAATCTCTAGGAGAGTGATATGGAGTAAGAGTAATATGAGACCGATGCGTGTAAAACATATATGCTAACTTAATTGATTATAGAACACACGCAATCACATACTCCATTAGTTCATCTGAGTGTGTGTATGCGTGTGCGTGTAGTTGTTCTTAAACATTCAACTTGTTTTTATTGAACTGAACAAATTGATTTCTTCAATGAAATGTAGACGTGAATAGTTCATGAACTTTGTTAAGGAACAATTAAAAAAATGACAAGCATTTCTTGGTCATTGATCCAGCGTATGATAGTCCTATCTTACTTAGTTTTTTTTATATGACACAGTATTCTTTTGTTCTACATACTGTTCAGCTCTCCTGCGCGCAATAAGGTGGCCTTATTTATTTTATTATTTTATTTTATTCCTTCACGTTCCCAGTGGAACATAGGGCTTCAAGCAAGTGGCTTGAAGTTTCTGTAGCAGTGTTTATTTTACAGGATAGGGTTGCTAGCCTCATGCCCAACCTTTTCTCTTTACCAGCTTTTATTTTTGGCTTAGCGAGGTAAAGGAGTGCGTCGGGAATCGAACCCCGTACCATGTGCATGGTCGGCGAGCGTCCTAACCGCTATGCCACCGATGCACAATAAGGTTGCCTGCTTAATTAAAATCTTGGCCACCAAATGCCTCCATTAACATTTCGCATATTCAAGTGTTGGTTTACAGCGATTTGATTGGTTTGCATATTGCATATAATTCCTCTTATCCAGTTTGTTTAAATCTAATGAAATATGACCACTAATTATATTGTTTACTCTGGTGAGTATTCAAAACATTGAAAAGTCGCTGATTCACATGTTTCTATTAAACATGAGAGAGAAAAAGCATCATCGTTGTTGGCAGCTTATGCCCAACACTTGAGATGACCGTTCCTCAGTGATGGTGTCCGTCGTTCACGAAATGTACTCCTGAACTCTTTATTATAGTCGGCATTCAACAAAATGTCGTGTATGTGTATGTATTTCTCGAAGGAGGCATAAAAGAGATATCATTACACAGGGGATCGGTCGGTTTTCGACATAGAACTTTGCACACATGTGGGCCAGTTCAAGTCACCACAATCCATGTAGCACACAAAGCCATAGAAGAGAGTAGGAGAAATGCGTAATAAAGACAGTAAACAGAGATGTGAGACAAAGGCATAGTAATAACGAAGAACAAAACAGTTTACTTGGAAATCATAAGTAACAAGGAATGGATGCATCTGCGCTTGCCATTGAGAACGATTTTGAGCCATATCACCAATTGTTTCTAGCCATTGGTGTCTACCGTCCCGAGGACCCCAACCAGTCAGGAAGTCTACACCTTCCTACATGGCTTAGACTAACTGTTGTGGATTTCATTGACTGGTGCCATGTTTTCATTTGACCGCCACTAGCTCTTTTTCAGCCTGACCCTATATCAGCTAAGATTGCCCGTCTAGGAAGGTGATGACTAGGAATACGTAGCAAATGTCCTAACCATCTCAGTCGATGTAATTTCATAGTCTCGCCGATTGATTTCCTCTCTTTAACTAGCACTCGACGCCTAACCTCAATATTGCTCACCTTATTGTACCACTTCACGAGGGAGATAGAACGCAGACACCTATGATCAAAGACAGCTAGCTAAACTTTTCATGTCTTCCGCTCTCAATTGTCAGGTCTCACAGCCATAAAGGAGGACGGGGCGAACTGATGAGCAGTACACACGTCCTTCGGTCGACAGCCAACAGGATTACATATCTACGCGAGAGACGGCGTAAACTGGCATATGCGAAACTAGCCCCATGTATCCGTGTTGAGATTTCGTCGGAGATCAACCCGTTGGGGCTGATGGTACTTCCCAAATAAGTGAGGCGGTCAACATACTCTACCACTTCCCTTCCTATTTCTAATCTAGGGGTCTGTGTAGTCCAATCCCGTAACATCATCTTACATTTTACAGGGGCGAATCGCATGCCAAACATACGAAGATTGTTGCTCAAGGTATTCAGCAGACTCTGCATTTTGTCAGCGTCCTCGCCTCGAAGGACTTTATCGTCTGCATATTCTAAGTCAACGAGATTATTCCCTGGTAGCAAATCAATCCCTGAGTCTCTGAAGTGAGTTAACGCAGGGGATTGGTTTTGAATTCACCCAGCTAGTATTTTCTTCTGATGCACTGTATAATTTTCGGGGCAGAAATCTTCGGGCGTACTGCAGAAAGTGGGACATTGACCCGAAGTCTGCCCCAAACATTCTGCAGTGCGCCCAAAGTGAATGCTAGCATAGATAACTTAGATAGATAGTAGTGTGTCATATGGCCTACTGTCAATCAATTCTTTTATTATTAGAAGATCCTGGACGCAGAGCAAATACTCGTGCAGTAAACTCTGTTGAAAATTCTGTACATTATATGAACATTGTTGAGAATAAAGTTATTACTCATTACTATTGTACCATACATCGTTTTATTTATTTATTTATTTATTTTGTTTTATTTTCTTTCATAGGCTCAACCACGTTGAATGTTTGCTTGTTTCTATATCAATCACTATAGTGACAAATCGTGTTGTTTTGATTCAGTTAAAAAACTACATCGAGAACAACACTAGTCGTTTACTTATCAATCCTGCTTGTACAGATAATAAAGAAACACTAATAATAATATTTATAATATTATCTTCTCATGATGATAACTAACCTTCATTCTATGATAGTGTTCATCTCAGCAGTCACAGCAGCAGCACAACAACAACCGCAACAACGATGGCCAATGATAACTGTCACTGAAGTCACTGTTGTTGAAAGCTAGTTGGTCAGCCAAACTTGTCGTACTGCTTACTGTTTTCTTATTTCTCAATGTGTCAATTGTGTTTTTGCCAACTTCATCCTAAATTTCTTATCATTACAGGGTTTTTTATTGTTCATTGAAGAATAAAAAAAAGGGAGAATTGAGATTCTCCGAAGATGTTTTTATTCTACGCTGAGTTGGCCTAAGCTGAAACACTGATATTTGCGAAAATGTCTATGTGTGTGTGTATGTGTGTGGTGTTTTTTGTTTGAGTTGAGTTTATTTTCAAAAATATACGCTACACTACGCTACACGACACTACACTCAACTGGATTCATCCTTTTCTGTTGTTTTTGTTTTTTTTACCGGTGCGTCTTTATTGTAGAGGCGTTCGCTTATCTCTGTTTCATGAAGAGTTAGTTTATGCTGCGTTTATTCTTGGTAACTGTACATCATTCGAATTAATCAACTCTAGTCTCTGTACTTTTTTTTCTTAACCAAAAACCAAAGCTTCTGTTTGTCTATCACTCAGTGTAGATAGTTCTTTTATTTTCTCATTTTCTCTTAACTGTTGTACACAAATTAATTAGCGAAGAAGTTTTTGGTTGTGTAGCTTTAGGTAAGTGTGTTCCCCCTGTGTTACTGCTAATATTAATTGAGTAGTATATATGATGTACAATGCATATATAAGTAGTTACTTACTTCATTCTTATTCTTTACTGACAGTGTAGTGTGTAATATTGTCCCAGCCTTCCTTCGCATTGATCATTTATTGTGTATAATGCTTAGAAGAGCTACTTTTCATTGAAGGCAGTCTGCGTGTATATATGTACACTCACGAAGAGGTTGTTGTTGTTGTTTTGTGGTTCCTGTCTGCTTCGTGGATAGATCATTTAATAGAGGCCAGAGACAAGTACTTCTGTTGTATAATATCTATTCAACAGTGTATAATAAATAAAGAAATAAATATTGTTGTAAGCTAAAACTAATTTAATTGTCATTTTTGCAATTTCTGTTTTGATTTTCTTCTTAATTTTGTATGTTAATAGGTTATTGCTTTGTTGTGTTTCTTTTGTATCTAACCTAGCCTAGCCTAGCTCCTCTAGCCCTTATGCACTTTCGCATATCTTGTTGTTGATGTGTGTATAAGCTTCAACAAGAAGACGTGATGATTGTAAAATTTGTCAACGAATTTAGCTCATTTTTATTTATTTATTTGTCTTATTTCATTTTATTTTATTCTTGTGTTTAATTGTCAATGTTCAATTGTCTTGTTTATATAACTTCGCTTTTTGTTGATTTGTTTGAATCTCACGTCACACACACAACGCGAACAATATGTGCAGGACAAAAAATTGATTTTTTTTCTAAAAAAAATTATCTAATTTTCATATTTTCTTTTCAGGCTTCTTTGACATTTGATAGTAAAGTGCTTTTTTGTGCGTGTGGTGGTGGATGGAACTGGTTTTTTGTGTATACCCCATGTGTTGTATGATGCCATCCATCGTGATTTATGCCCCGGTCCCCTTCCAAAAAAAAGTAAATAATAATTAAATAAATAAAAATAAACGCTTTCTTGTGCTTTCTGTAAAATCCTACTTTAGTTTTGCCTTCATTATTCATTTTTAATGTGTTTTTTTCGTTTAAATTTATTTGACTTTCTAAATAAAAAAAGTGATGAACAGGTTTCATTTTTGGCGCAGTAATTATTCAATGTTTTCAAGTTGTATTATGACATTTTATTTGTTAATGAAATAAAAATAAAGAAAAGGATATGATTCGTTTGTGAGCATTATATCTGTTTTATTATTATTATTATCATTATAGTTCCCTTAGGTCCCGAGTGGAACATAGGAACACCTTGAGCTGCAATCTTCGGATGTTTGGCATGCGATTCTCTCCCCGTGGCAAACGTGAGACGATGCTACAGGACTGGACTGCACTCACTCCTAGCTTAGAAATAGGGAGTGAAGTGGTAGAGCGTGTTGACCACTTACTTATTTGGGAAGTTGCATCAGCCAACGCCAACGGGTTGATCGTTGACGAAATCTCAGCACAGATACAGAAGGCTCGGTTTGCATATGCCTGCCAACTTACGACAATTCTGGCGTAGACGTGATGTTCGGTCGGCTATCGATCAAAGGACGTATGCATTACTTAACAGTCCTCTCCTTTATGGCTATGAGACCTGGCCAGTGGGAGTCGAAGACATGAAAGACTAGCTATCTTTGGTCATAGGTGCCGGCGTTCTATCTCCCATGTGAAATGGTATAATAGGGTGAGCAATATTGAGGTTAGGCGTCGAGTGCTAGTTGGTAAGGAGGGGAAATCAATAGACAAGACTGTGAATTAACATTGACTGAGGTGGTTAGGACATGTGTTACATATGCCTAGTCATCGCCTTCCTCGACGGGCAATGTTAGCTGACATAAGATGGATCAGGTTGGAAAAGAGCTAGTTAGTGGTGGTGAAACCAAAACATGGTTTCATCAGTCAATGAAATCCACAACAGTTAGTTTAAGCCAGCCATGTAGGGAGATGTAGATTTCCTGACTAGTTGTTGTCCTCGGGACGGTAAACACCACTGAAGGCTGGAAATAATTGGTGATGTTGTTGAAAATCATCGTTGTCAATGGCGCAGATGCATCCACTCCTTATGACTAAGAATACTCAATGAGAGTATATTATTCTTCGATGTTACTATTCTTTTTGCCTCATATCTCTGTTTACTGTCTCTGTTTTGCATTTCTTCTTCTCTTGCTTTGTGTGCTGAGTGAAGTGTGGCGACTTGACGAACTGGTGCACATCGATGCAAAGTTCTATGTTGTAAACAGTCAGGAACATAGATCCAAAGACAGCACGTATTTCCACTTTGTTCTATTTTCTGAAAGTCCTCTTTAATTGGCCCCATGATTACGCATAATTTCTGGTCTCCTCCATGTCACCTTCGAACGCCCCACTTTTGTCATTTCCCATTCGGGTTCTATTCGAACGATAGCTTGGCGCGAGATGTCATTCTGCAGTTTCCTCAGCACATTCACAATCCATCTTCTTGTAAATGTGTGTATGCTTTTATTTTATTTTTATTGATTGAATTCCTTTACTCTCCCACTATAACATAGGGCTTCAAGCTTGAGCTTCGAAGTTTCAGTAGCAGTTATTTGATTTTTACGGATTGGGGTTGCTAACCTCACTTTCAAACTTCCCGCTTTGCCAGTGGGCTTACTCACTGGCATAGTGAGGTTTAGGAGTGCGTTGGTGGGGAATTGGTTCCCCCACCGACGCGCTGTATGTGTTGAACCTAGAAATTATTAGTCTTTTTGAAGTAGCTTACTCCATGCAATTATAAGCTAGTGATAAAATTATTGGGACTTGCATTAATATGGTACTCGGTAAAAAAAATTTAACTGGATATTCATGGTAGAACTTTTTGGTGTATGCCAAGTTTTCCAGTATTGCTTGGATGGATATGGGATTGATTTGGAAGGGAAAGAGAATCTGTTCCTGTATTATGAGTATCATAAGGTTGTGTAGATCGGTTGAAATTTGTTGGAGACGAGTTAGTATGAAGGAATGTAATGTGTGGACGTTAACATCACTCACCATCAAAAATAAGATCCGGATTTTCAACTCCAATGTGAAGTCAGTCAGTGCTACTATACGGATCAGAGACTTGGCCAGCGCGTCATAAAGAGCATCTCAAACAAACTACAGACCTTCATTAACAGTTGTCTTCGCTCAATACTACTCAAGATCAGATGGCCGGCCAGAAAAGATCAGCAACAGAGATCTCTGGCAATGAGCGAACCAACACAGCAGAAACCGATTGTGAAACAAATAGACAGGAAGAAATGGAGATGGATTGGCCATACTCTGAGGAAACAATGCATCAAGTGACATGACTAGACAAGCCATTGCTCGAGTGGAACGCGGAAGGGAAGCTGCGAGTTGGTCGTCAGTGCAAGGGTGAGGGTGACTTGGAGGAGGTCATGTGAAGAGGAGATGAAAGCATGTGGGCAGACTTGGAGCCAGGTGGAGACTCTAGCAGAGAACCGAATGCAATGGAGACGCACGGTTGAAGCCCTATGTTCCTCTAGGAATTAAAGGAAACAATAATTATTATAATGTAAACCGATGGTTATACTCCTCTTTTGTCATCAACCCAGATCTATTATATACACCGATGAATCGAAAGGATATAACTAATATGTCATCTCTGGGATCCACATTAGCTGTATTGAAGGGTTTTTTGGAGAAGATTGAAGAACAGGATTAGAGCCATTAACAGATCTCAGTAGGAGGTTATTTACTGTCATTCAGATGATTATATGTACAGAATATGGTTGAACATTTCCATTGATACTCCTATGGTAAAGTTGGAGTCATTTTTGTCGCACGTAAGAGAAGAGTACCCTTGTGGCGGCCTAAAAACATATCAAATTATATGTTCACGAAAAAAGGAAGGAATTCAACCTAAAACCTTGAACCGCGCGGAAGGGACGAATCGTACTCTCTCTCTCTGGTTGCTCGCCCAGCACATCTGCTGACCAACGCTCCACGTAGAGTAAAGCAGATAGGAGCAAAGTTCTTGATGGGGATGTGTCAACCAGTGCGAGACAGCGTTGGTCAGCAGATGTGCTGGGCGAGCAACCAGAGAGAGAGAGAGTACGATTCGTCCCTTCCGCGCGGTTCAAGGTTTTAGGTTGAATTCCTTCCTTTTTTCGTGAACATATAATTTGATATGTTTTTAGGCCGCCACACCCTCTGTAATATTTTTAATAATGATAACAATAACAGTAGCTTTATTCTGAACATACAGAATTTTCTGTGGAATTTACTGCATAACATTTGCTCTTCGTCCAGAATCTTCAAGTAATTGAAAATTTGATTGACAGTAGGTCATGTGACACACTTCTATCCATCTATGTTACCTGAAGCGAAAACCAATCC